GTCTCGTGATTGATCAGTCTCTTGAGGGTTTGAATGACATAGGCAGTGGCTTCTTTCGCGATCTGCTTTCTAGAACCGTCAAAGCTGGCGACAACGCTGTCGACGGACCGTGCAATGGTCAGAAAGACGTCTTTCCGTGCCTCGTACTGTCTAGCTTCTTCTGCAAGGGCTGTCAAGACGGACCCTGTGGCAGATCCGCTCGGAGCAGATGCGGTAGAGGCTGCGGGCCCCTCGGCCGAGGTAGGGGCGTCGGTGGTGGCATCAAGCTGGCTTCCCGTTAGGCTGGGCCGGGTCGGCTGTGCCTCGGCGTCGCGGCGTCGCTTAGCTCTTGAGGTGGGGTTCGGCTCCGGAGGTGTCCCGGAGCCTGGTTCGGGGTCGGCTTGGTCGGCCGACATCAGTCCGGTGCCCGACGGCGGCTGTGAGGCCATCGCGGATGCGGGCTCCGGCAAGGGGAGGTGAAGAGTTTTCGGCTGTTAGTAATTTGGTGGTAGGCTCACTCATTCACTAACAGCAGATGCCAAGAAAAATTAGGCGAGAGGGAAGTTGTACTTCTAAGAGTGAGAGCCACGTGTGAGTGAATAAGGAAATGATATCAATGGTAGGAGAAGTAATACCCAGCCAAAATTATCCTGCGCAGCCATGATTTTCTTGGCGTCTGTTTGATGGGGACACACACAATCAGCGTTGACTTGGTGTAGGATATAGCCGGCGGTAAACCCGTTGGAAGATTGAAACGATTCGGGAAATTCGGGATGTCACAGACTACTCCAGGTGACAATTCAAGTGCCTCTTCAAAGTATAGATATACAGTTCGAGATAAGTGGTGGCTGCGGCGGAGCTCCGCAGCAACCCTGGTCTGAGGCAGCGGCCTACTCGCCGCGCGCTAGTCGGCACACCCTTACTCATAGGCCATACCACCAGCCGAGATGACCTCCTCGAGCACCGTTGTCATGAAGGACCCCATTGCCCAAATAGGTCTCCCCTTCCAGAACTGTAATACGGTTTCCATGAAGCGTACCTCACTCGCCTCCGACGCCATGCCTAATGAGGTGGACTCCCGAACCGAGAGGCGCCGAGTTTGGCCACTGATGTGCTCTTGTCGCTGCAGGACTTCAAGAATGGAATCGAAGATGATTGTAGAAGCCTCAAACCGAGTGCGGACGGTCGCCTGGGTACCTGCCTTCCGTCGCATCTCTCCTGTTGCCCATCGCAGTAACCTCCATATTGCCAGGAGGATCTTGTACGTAGCCACCGTCGCCCAAGGCGCTTCTCGAAACGCATCTTGCCTCTCGATGCTCGTCACACTTGACAGGACGTCCATCAAGTCATCAAGGAAGACTAACATTCCGTCATCACCGGAATTGTATCTGAGTAGGTTTTGCAACGATCTGCGAGCTCCAACCTGAAGTCCCATGGTGAGATGTGTCGCGGTTGTGAGGCCGGCAACGACGCTATTTTCCACGATACCACCAATCAGAAGATCATCGGGTTTGCAGAGCGCGAGCTTGACGGATAGTGCGATACGCTCGGCAAAGTTCAGAATGTGCCAGTTCGAGCTATCTGCCGCGGCGATTTGCGTTGTGATGATTTCGGAGACGTATCGTAAAGCTGCACTGACCTGTCTGTTTTGAGATTGAGTGAGAATGTGGTATGCGTTTGGGTCGGCCAAAGCCGGTGGGAGTTGGTAGTAGCACCGGGTAAAATCCCTGACGAGGGAATCGAGACTGGTAAGGACGAAGAGCGTTGCCATCGGCGAAGCACGCAGCGCCGCTAACAATTGCGGACTCGGTGTGTCCGTCATTAATGATTGCATAGCAAGGTTCAGTGATTTTGTTGTTGGGCAAGTCATGCCAGGCGTGTCGTGAGATCGGGTCAGTCCGACAGTTCGGGGTTCGTCTCCGAGCCGTTGGGCCCACGCTAACGAGGTGTCCGCTTCCCATAATGATGAAGCAAGGGGCAGCTCCCAATCGAGCTCGGTGGGAGTGGTAAGTGGGCGAATGTTGCAAGGGGAGAAAATATGAAAGTCGAGGAACAGAAGGGTGTACATGGATAGCTTCATGGACTCCGATTCAACGTATGACATCCAGTGATCGTGTAATGTCTGTTCTTCCAAGTCTCTGAACCTGGATGTTGACTGGAAAACGTTTTGGCGGAGGAGACCGAGGTCTCGGGCGGCCTATTTAGGTTGAATTAACGAGATAGTCAGCCAACACATATCAAGAGAGACAACTAACGTCGACAATCCATCGCAGCATCTTCTTTGATTTATCGAAGTCAGACGCATTGCCAGTATACGCCCCATAGATGATATGCAAGAGCCATGCTTGCATAACCCATGCCCTGCGGATTTCTCTCCAGTCCGCCTCAACCTGGCATAAGTGAGTTTAATACGGCCAATACTTGATTTGACGTCGCATATTTGACTTACAACTCGCCAAAGTTCATTATGACCATACTTCCATAGTGTTTGGCTCTTCTGCATCAAGGATGCCGTTTCCTCTTCAGACACATTTCTGGAAGCATATAGCATGCCAATTGAGACGATAATCTGCTTCGACAACTTAGGTAACTCATTCCCTATGCTTTGTCGATGCACAAGTGGGAATGATGGATGGAAACTCTCGAAATACGTTGATACGTAAGTTTCTATTCCGGTCGTCATAATCCTGAACAAACAGTCAGTTATTAATGGAGACCTTATCTTTGGATAACATACTCCGTCACTAGAAGCTGCTCCGGATTAGGCACTTCTGTAGCTTCTGGTGGGCTATTTGGGTAGATGGTATCATCTCCAACTCCAGCGTTAATGCCTTCCTGAGAAGTTGAAAAGGGCGAATCATCCTGGTCGTCTGGTGAAAGAGCAGTGTCTTCAACGGCCGATGCCTGTTGCGCCGCTCCGTTCTCGATAGCGGTGATCGTCAACACACGGCTGAATGTGCCTCTACATCTTTCGGCGTGTCTCTTGCACACGTCCTTTCTAGTGAACCTGGCTTTGCAATTTTCGCATCTGAACGGCCTACGGCTATCGCTACCATGTCCTGGCAAATGTGAGCTTCGCAACTTTGGAATTTCGAGGCTGACACATACTTGAGCGTTTATGTCGTTCCAAGTTTTCCTATGATGTGTCTTAGTCACCATTATTGAGTAGAGGTTGACGGGCACCTACGTTTCTCGTAAATGTCTGTGTGCACTCTGTGCAGGTGAAGGGCCGCGAACTCATCATGGGCGCAATGCTGCTTTTGATGTTTGGGTGGACGTTGAGGACCCCGGTGAAGGGAGAAGTAGCTAAAGGGGTGGTGGGCCCGTGCGTTTGTGCTTATCAATTCGTCTTGTTGCATACTACAATTGAGGGTCTGCCTATTGGCATACTGATCTGTATCCCAGAAAGACGGAAACCAAATTCGACTTCTACTGTAGTATTGATCAGAGGATTGGGGAATTTTCGATATTTGATTGTGTGAAGAATCATTCGACGTTGTTGGGTTGAGCGCTGTCGAGAAGCTCCGAAACGCGCTACGTGGCACTAGCACGATCTACCGCGTGGCGTCTCTGCGCACGTCCCGACGCGATGGATCTCGAGCTAGATTCGACGTCCATCACCGTTGCGAGGGAGGCGGTGGCAGCGAGCGACGAGGACCTGCCATCACGAAGGGTGCGAAAGCCATCCGCGAAAGCCCAACTGAACCAGACTCATCAAGAGATAATCGACAATGCGACCGACGGAGCGACGGAGGTTGCTGGTGGTGGCCGGCGGACGACGACCAAGCGAGCCACAACCCTGGCCAAGGAACGCGCGAAACCCATAGAGGATGACGACAAAGGGCTGCTCCTGACGATGGGCAAGCAGGTCAAAGAGCTACACACAGCGGTCAAGATCATGTTCGATGCGTGGAAGAAGTCGGAAGCACGGAATAAAAACGTTGAGGCAGAGCTTCGCGTGGTCACTTCGGAGCTGCAAACAGTCAAGAGCGAGCTACAGGCCGTCAAAGGAGAGCTGCAAGCGATGAAAGAACGCGTGGAGGACGAAAGCGCCAAGACGAACGAAAACCTCGAAGCACTCGCAACAGTTGCTGCGACGCGGAACAGCCCAAGTGTGTCCTACGCGGACGTCGCGCGAAGCGGCTTAGGTGGGCAAGGTCGCGACTCGCGGGTAGCCACGGCGGGCAACGCGACGCTGCCGAGCCGCAGCGACCCCTTCTGTACGATCGATACATCAAGAGTTGAAGAAGGCAGCGACAAGCTCAACCCAGGCCGGATCCGGGCTGCGGTGGAAAAGGAGATGCGCGCGTTGGACGGACAGGGTAGCTGGCGGTGTCTGGCCGTCACGGTAGACCCAAGGAACGCGGATAGGATCCGGATCATTTGTCGCGACGATGCGGAGCATAGGTATGTCAAGCAGATCGCGGAGAAGAGCTTCGGCCGTGGAGCACGCGTGCTACGAGACGAACTCTATCCCGTGAAGATCGACAACGTGAAGCGAATTGAGGTACTGGATGAGAAGGGCAATGTCAGGGCTGAAGCGGCGGAGGCACTTAGCCGAGAAAACGAGACCACGGTTGCCAAGATTTCTTGGCTTAGCAAGAAAGAGATACCCAAGGCGTATGGGTCCATGGTCGTGTTCGTGACCAAGGCCGGTGATGCGCGTAGACTGATCTCCGAGGGCTTCTTCCACGTTGGAGGAGAGTCCGGCACGACGATGGCGTTTGAACGGCGGCCGCGCCCCCAGCAGTGCTACAACTGCCAGCAGATCACGAAGCACAAGGCGTACCAGTGCGTAAACCCCCGGGTGTGTGGACGATGCGCCAAGGTAGGCCACCACCACTCTGAATGCCGTGAGACGATCGTGACATGTGTGCCCTGTGGCGGACCGCACGAGTCGTTCAGCAAGAACTGTCCGAAGCTGTATCCGCGTTCCCATGAGTAGGAAGGTCCAGATCCTTCAGCTCAACGTGAGGAAACAGGCTGCAGTGCACGAAAGTCTGATGAATGATGAGGCGTTGCGCGACTTCACGGCCATAGCGGTGCAGGAGCCATGGGCGCGGAGGATAGAAGGTAAGGTCATTACGGTTCCGATGGGCAATAGCAGGTGGACGAGGATGGTACCAACGGAGTGGAGGGACGAAGGAAGATGGGGAATCAGGAGTTTGCTTTGGGTGAACAGAGACGTAGAGACAGAGCAGCTGCCGATAGCGTCCTCGGATATCACTGCGGCCATCGTCCGGCTTCCGGATCGAAGACTGATAGTGGCGTCGGTGTACGTGCCGGTGCAGAGGCCGGAGATGCTGCGGCAGGCGTGCGACCTGCTGAGACAAGCTATCACGAATGTCCGAGGAGGAACAGGGGAGAGGGTGGACGTGGTTCTGGTAGGAGACTTCAACTGCCACGACTACCTGTGGGGAGGTGACGATGTGTCGGAGGGCCGGCAGGGCGAGGCGGACCCGATCATCGATCTAATGAGCGAGTACTCGCTCCGCAGCCTCCTTCCGCGTGGCACGAAGACGTGGGAGAAGAACGATGCGGCAACGACGATCGACCTATCCCTCGCGTCCGAAGAGCTAGCAAGAACGGTGGTACGATGCGGCCTGCACGAGACGGACCACGGGTCGGACCACCGGGCGATCGAGACGACCTTCGACATCGCCGCGCCTGAGATGGAAAGCCGGCCACGGCTCCTCCTCAAGAACGCCCCATGGAAGCAAATCAATGAGAGAGTAGAAGCAAACCTAGGGCGAATGCCAACAGGAGGTACGGTGCAGCAACAGACGGATCGACTGATGTCTGTGGTGTGCGAGGCAGTAGAGGCACTGACACCTACGGCCAAGCCATCACCGTATGCAAAGAGATGGTGGACGGCTGACCTCACCCAGCTCCGGCAGATCCATACCCACTGGAGAAACCGGGCGAGAGCGGAGAGAAGGGCAGGTAACAGTCAACCTGAACTGGAGCAACGCGCACGCTCGGCAGCCAAGCAATATCACGATGCCATCCGACAACAGAAGAAGAGCCATTGGGAGGACTTTCTGGCCGACGACGCCAATATCTGGAAGGCCGCGAAGTATCTCGACGCCAGTAAAGGGGCATCTTTCGACAAGATACCTCAACTTAAAAGGGCGGATGGTTCCCAAACGGGAGACGCCGCAGAACAGGCCGAAGAGCTGCTCTCCACATTTTTCCCTCCTCTCCCCAGCATGATCGAGGAGGAGGGGGATCGGCCACAACGATCGCCGGTACCCTTCCCTAACCTCACACTGGGAGAAGTAGAGAGACAGCTCTTTGCGGCAAAGTCGTGGAAAGCACCCGGAGAGGACGGTCTGCCGGTGGCAGTGTGGAAGCACACGTGGCCAGTGGTGAAGGAGAGGGTGCTTACACTCTTCCAGACCTCACTGGATGAAGGGGTGTTGCCGAGGCAGTGGCGACACGCAAAGATCATCCCGCTGAAGAAGCCAAACAAAAGCGACTACGGTATAGCGAAGGCCTGGCGACCGATCTCGCTTCTCTCGACGCTCGGAAAAGTGCTGGAGTCGGTCCTGGCAGAACGTATCTCGCACGCTGTCGAGACGTTCGGCCTCCTTCCCACGAGCCACTTTGGCGCTCGCAAGCAGAGGTCGGCAGAGCAGGCGCTGGTACTGCTGCAGGAGTACATCTACAGAGCGTGGAGAAAGAGAAAGGTGGTCAGTCTGGTCAGCTTCGATGTCAAGGGAGCATACAATGGTGTGTACAAAGAGAGACTACTTCAAAGACTCAGAGCGCGGGGGATCCCGGACAAGCTGGTGAGATGGGTGGACGCCTTCTGCTCCCATAGAACGGCAAGCATCCTGGTTAACGGTCACGAGTCCGAGGCTCGTCCGCTACCACAAGCCGGACTGCCTCAGGGTTCGCCGCTTTCGCCCGTGCTCTTCCTCTTCTTCAACGCCGATCTCGTACAGCACCAAATCGACGAGAACGGGGGCGCGCTGGCCTTCGTCGATGACTACACGGCGTGGGTCACAGGCCGATCGCGCGAAGCAAACCGTCAGGGCATCCAAGATATTATCGATCGAGCACTCGCGTGGGAACGACGAAGCGGGGCGACGTTCGAGACGGACAAGACGGCCATCATCCACTTCACGCGCAACTGGAGGCTGCCGGCGGACTCAACCAGCTTCGTCATCAAAGGTGACACTGTCCGAGCAAAGGACCACGTCAAAGTATTGGGAGTGATGATGGACACGAAACTCCGTTTCGAAAAGCACATCGCAGACGCGACGACAAAAGGGCTGGAGGCCGTGCTGGGGCTCAAACGGCTCAAAGGCCTGTCTCCGGCGACGGCCAGACAGCTTTTCGTGGCGGCCGTAGCACCGACGATGGACTACGCGTCGAACGTCTGGAGGTACAGGTGTCGAGCAGCGCAGATGAGGGTGATCAACCGAGTGCAGAGGATTGGCGCCCAAGCGATCGTGGGAACCTTCAACACGGTGGCCACGGCGGTCGCTGAAGCGGAGGCAAGCATACAATCGGCGCAAGAGAGGTACGACAGAAAATCAACGACATTCTGGGTACGGCTGCGAAGCCTTCCCAAGACCCATCCGCTTCGACGTCTGCGGGCGGTGGCCTTTAGACGGTTTCCGTCACCCTTCCAGTTGATGGCGGAGGCCTATCGCGACCTACCCCTTGACAAGCTGGAGACTATCGAAGGGTATTCGATCGCTCCTTGGGAACGTCGTATTGATACAGTAGTCGACGACGACACGGTCAAGGCCTCTGAGGCAATCCGGTCTGGATGGGCAGTGAGGATAGCGACAGGGAGCTCAGCAAGGAACGAGGTTGTGGGCTTTGGAACGGCGACGACGCTGCCCGCATCTTTCAGAGGGGGCGGTGGCGTCGTGACGGCCTCGCGTACGTTCGGTCAGAGAACGGAGCAGAACCCGTATGTAGCAGAGCTAGCGGCACTGGCAGAAGCGGTCAAGTCTCTCCCAGAGAGACTCGAGTACCGGGCCATCCACGTCTTCACCCGCAACAAAGCGGCAGTGTTGGTGATGCACAACCCGCGGCAGCAGTCAGGCCAACAAGAGATCCGACAACTATATGCCAGCGTGCAAGCTCTGCAGAGACGAGGCAACAGAGTCACTCTCTTCTGGCTTCCATCATCGATAGAGTCAGACCTGGCGCAAGCGGCCAAAGCAGCAGCAAAGGAAAGTACCCAAGTAAACAAGACACCACAAAAACGGCCGGCCAGAGCCTACTCGACGGCACTTAGGATCGCTTTACAGAGCGTGCGACAGAAGCACGGAGCCTTGCCCGACAACGTAGGAGCATATTCGAAGAAGATCGACATAGCCCTGCCGGGAAACCACACACGCAAGCTGTATGACGGACTGGCCTGGAAAGAAGCCAGCATTCTAGCGCAACTACGCACCGGAATGGCAAGGCTGAACTGGTACCTCTACCAGATCGGCGCAACCGCCGCGGCGCTATGCGCTTGCGGGCAATCTGCAGAAACGGTAGAGCATTTTCTCTTTCGATGCACACAGTGGACGGCACAGCGGACTCGGATGCTCCAACAGACGGAAACGCGGAGAGGAAATCTGTCATACTTCCTGGGAGGAAAGCGCGCGTCCGACCCTAAGGATTGGTCGCCAAGCGTAGACGTTGTCAAAGAGACGATCAAGTTCGCCATGAGCACGGAGAGGCTAGATGCACAGATCAGCCAGCAGCGAAACCACACGCAACTAACATCATCAAATTAACCGGAGACACCCCCACGCATCCTCGTGCCATCGACAGCAGGACTAGCTTCGGCCGCCGACGATAGGACGTCGAACACTTTGAGAAACAACTCCGAGATGGCCTGCTACTAACCCCACGAGCAACCGCAGCATCGACATGCAAAACTAAAAAAGACACATACGGAGACGAACAAGACTTGTATGGGCTTCTGGGAGGCAAGGATATGAACGAATGTGGAGAATATGTAGATAATCATGCGAGCCCTAAACAGCTTAGCCGGGGCGTAATAAACTATGTATGTATGTATGTATTGGCATACTCCTCTAGACTCCTGCGCCACAGAGGCGAGGGCGAATACAATGTAGCTGGAACTTCATTTCTTGAAAATTTGAGATTATAAGAGTTTCTATTTATTACGATCAAACGCTTCATGTGTTGTCACAGATCTCCCAGACTCTACAACCAGAGAGTTGTCAGTTGTAATTTGTAAGTCTAGGTTCTAAGCGATCTGCGAACGAGACGGGCAAAATCCCAATAACCCCTGGTAAGATTTTCAAGCTTGAATACATTTGATATTAAAAAATCTCATATAAGCTATATCTTAAGGAGCGGCTAAGTGATTTAGGTGTGAAACTTCGTCACGATGTACCTTGTGAATGATTGGGCTGAATACCTACAGCTAATACTAATCCTCTGCAATCAGTTTAGGTTTCACTCGAACGAAACTATAAAGGTAAGGAGATTGGGTTTTGGGAAAGAAGAAAATATGACAAAAGAAAGCTTGAGGCTCGATGACAGCTGTATGGAAGATCCAATTATATCTCAAGTTTAATGTCCTTGTCAATATCGCCCGACTCAAATGTACGAATCATAACCCCGGTAGCGGTATCATTCCACGCAGTCGTGTCCCCTTGTACGAACCCGCTGCTGGTGCAGTAATCCATGATTCTTCCCGCGGTTCTTGCAATTTCCTGGCTATGGTTCCGGCAGGATCTTGTCAGTCAAAGTCGTTTAGAGGAGTCGAGGAGGGCGAAAGCGAGGACGGGAGAAGAGGGCGGGAGAAAGCACTTACCAAGTTGACTGGTGCAGAGATTCCTTGTTTTTCCTCCATCCGAGAATGAAAGTTTTTCCATTTGAGCGGCAGAAACCTGTCACCTCCTTTTCCTTCACAACACACTTGTTGTCATCTTGGTTTGCTAGCCACTGAATGCACCAGGCGGCGTTCTCAATCTGCAGTAAAATAAAATAAAGATCGTCAGCCAGATGGCATATCTTGTGTCACGCTTGAGATAGGTTTAATAGCTGAGTCTAAACACATACCGGTGCCATGTTTGTGGGGTAGCTGTTGCATCGAACGGTGTTGATATCAATGATTTTGCCATTTTCAGAAGTCTTGGACTTGAGAAAAACTTTATCTCGCTTATTTAGTTGAATTTCACTGGGATCTTCAGACCAAGAAGTATTGTGAGGGGTAGTAGATTGCCAGCCTGCCGCGAGAAGTTGAGTGTTAGTGGATCATCCAGCACTGTTGGTCATATAATAACAAAGACAAGGCGAGGGCCGGATTGAAGATCTTACCGATGATGTTGCGAGCTCTGATTGCAGCTTCGGCTGCCTCCTCAGCAGACATATGCTTGGCCGTAGGGTTGTTGATAATATCATCAGCCCATTGCTCGAAGGTGAACGGCGTGAGGGAGCGTACAGGACTGGGCGATCCAACGTCAGTGGGAGCCGCAGCTATCAGATGAGCAGTTGCCAGGACACAAATAGAAGTTCTGAGTAGAAGGAGCATCTTGAGTGATTCTCGATGACGAAATGATCATGGCCTGTTGATATAAGATGGAACTGTAGCACTGAAATCCCAATCGACTGCTGACTCCAGAGATCTATCCATATGCAGAGGGGGCTGAAGCCTATTATATATGTAGAGATGTTCGACCGACTTGATAACGTAGGCCAAATTCTGTATGTCATTTTTGCTTTCACTGTTGATTGACCGCATTGGGACCACAGGGTTCGCTGTGGTACTACCGTACCAAGATGGCCCACTCCCTTGCTCCCTTGGATCTCTATTCTCTTCTGCCCTGCGGGCCAAAGCATGTTTTGTTGAAAACCTTCCGGCACAAAGCCTGGTTCCGATTCAATCAATCAGCCGACTGCAAATCCTTTTTCTCAACTACGTTAAATAGAGTACAGGCCCAGGGCGATTCCGAAAGCTGCGTGAAATTGAAATCACCCTCGCCTCTGGACATCTACATCGTTAAGTAACACCTGATCTCTCAGAGCACTTTAGCTAACTTATAATACCTACGAGAAGTGAGAAAGTACGTTTCAAAATGAATATCTGACACTGTAGTGACTTTTACCATCTCGAATAGCCAAGATCGGTCAGCTCGGCGCCCTTCGGTCTGCCAGGGAAATGCTCGTATTACTGGGTAGATACATGACAGGGCTCCTCATGTCCAATCCATGTGACTCAACTTATTTCTGTTGAATATTCAAAACCAAACCTATGGGTTGAGTAACGCCTAATTCACTCAATATCAATGCCTTCTTCTTCAAGGTGTGATGTTGCGATCCTCGCGAATCTTCGACTCGAATGTCACCGCTGCCACGGCCCCACCGATCCCACTCGCTCCGGCGATCAAACGGCCGCTCGTCAATATCCCTGCCCGCCCGCCGTTTCAGGAGTCTCGGCCGCACCCTCCGATCTTGCACCAATCAGACGGCCACCCATCCCCCGTCAGGGGCACCCCACGGCGAGTCAAAAACCCAATTCAATGCCTTACATGGGGGAGCTACCTCCCCCGATCTGGAGCTTGCTGTCCTTTTTTCCGCGCCAATCTTCCCTCCTTCTCCTCGGAACTTGCTTCTTTTTAAGCTTCTTTTTCCACCCCCGCCACCACTCACTTGACAGGTGCCGATCGCATAGCGTAGGGTCATCTTGTTTTCACCATCTCTCTCACCATGTCTCTGAAGACTCTCTTGCCGTTGCTCGCGCTTACCGGCGCGGGCATGGGTTGGCAGCACAAGACCGAAGCCGAAGTTCGTGATGCCCTCAAGACGAACGAGCATAGCTTAGTAGCATGTAAGTTGTAGCAGTCTCACGAGACCATGCCCTCCCATTCTACCTCTCTCTGACAGCACGCTGACCCTATGTACAGTTGTTGCGGTAAGCCGAGTCTCTGACCCTTGAGCTGATGTCCTTGCGAATACTCTCCCAAGCTCCATGCTGCTATCACATGTTAGCAAAGTGCTGACCGTACCAAAGCCCTCAGCGTACGACATTCTGCACCTCTACAGCAACATTCGTTAACACGGACAACAGCGACGCCAGCACAGTCCTCGAAAAGCACTGGTCCGCCGTCGAAGATGCCGTCCCGACCGCTCTTTCAGTAGACTGCTCGACTTCAGCCTCGCTCTGCTCCGAACACGACGTCGCTTCCTACCCCGCCATCCGCCTCTACCGCCAAGACGGCACGAAGCACCACTACCGCGGCCCCAGAAAGGCCTCTGAGTAAGTTCATCATCGGCCCCCCCTTGATCACCTCACAAAGGAGCTTCAGCTAAGCCGCCCGCGTCTCTCTTCTTGGCAGAATCACCGCCTTCGTCCGCCGCATGCTCCGCCCCGCCGTCGTCCCTCTCGACAGCAAGGCCGCGAAATCCTTCAACAAGGACGACGACGTGGTGCTGATTGCGCACATGGCCGAGTCCGAGACCAGTCTGCGCGAGCGCTTCGCCGAGATGGCCGGGCGTTACCGCGACCGCTACGCCTTTGGGCTGACGACGATTGACGAGGCGCCCGGGCGGATCGCGTGCTATAACAACGTCGACGGGGCGTTCCACATGACGTCTGAGCTGGACGAGGTCGACTCGATGAAGAAGATGCTGAAGAAGTGTGCGTCGCAGCTCGTGCCACGGTTGACGAGGAGAAACGAGGCCGAGTATTTGAGCGTCAGTTGGCACCCCATTGCAGTCTTACAAACGTTTTCTCATGCAACGTCCAAGAGGGAGATTACTAACGTATGAGATGTTCACAGTCTGGCAAGTCGTTGACCTACTTCTTCTCGACGGTCGAAGAGAACCTAGACTCATGGACATCGGCCGTAAAGCCCATGGCGAAACAGTACCACGAGTACATCACCTTCGTGACGGTCGACCTCGGCGAGTACCCCGATATGCCGTCGCTCTTTGGCCTGCCGGCGGATGCCACCGAGGGCGTGGCGGTCTATAACCCGGCCGTGGGCCTAGCGTTTCCCTTCAAGGGTGGAAAGATCACGGTAGACGCGGTCGCGCAGCACATTGCCGACATCTCTGAAGGTAACGCCGATGCCTGGCAGGTGGGTGAGCCGACTGCGGATGAGGAGATTGTGGAGCAGGTCATGGAGGAGGTCCCAGTGAAGGGGGGAGACGGCTCCAAGGTAGAGACTGAGGAGACCAAGGAGGCAACCAAGGAGACTGGAGAAGAGAAGCTTGAGATCCACGACGAGCTATAGGCAAGGAATCTTATCATGGTTGTGCGCTGTTCACACTCAACGCTTGTTTCCAGGGTCCCGATCACTGGACCGATATTAGGACAACGTCCAAGGCATCGCTCGAAACAGGGTCGCTGCCCACTGTTGCTGATCCGAAGAGAAAACATAGATACCAAAGCAAGCCGGCTTGTAGTCTTCATGGAGCCGATATCTGCATCCAAAACCCAAGGATTGGGATTCTCGACTTCGGCAGGAGAACAGTTGCCTCAAAGTCACAGCAACAGACTTGGCTGCGTATGGCAAAGGAAAGAAGGAAGTCAGACAAGAGGATCAGTTGGCAGTGAAAGAAGGGGTGGCGGCAGAGCCCGTCCGTCTTCTGCTTACCCAAGCCCTCTGGGCTAGGCGAATTTCACACCGTCTCGAGCGCAATAGACGCCCTTATATAGAAACAGACATCAAGTCGATATAATTGTTTCGCGGAGCCGGGCGCCGCTCCGTCGTTACCATTTCTGTTCCCAAGCAACTGAACAATGATCAGATTGTACGTGAAAGCTGCTTCGGCGGCGACGGACTATGCCCCGCCAGCCAGCCTTCGTGGTCACTAACCCCGAACACGCATCGCGCGCATCGCGGAGGAAAAGGACCGGAATGAGGGTGGGACCTGCGTTACCTGTCAGCGTGATACGTTACACAGGCCGCCAAAAAGTCAAACAAAATCGCCGCCATTTCGGAGCCGGATGAAGCTCCGTTGGGAGTTTGTCTGTGTTGAACCAAACGGCTTTGGCACGTTGTTCGTTCTTGTTCCAATCAGCGACTCCAGGACCTCGTACAGTGACCCAAAGACCACTGTTTCTCACTATCTCCGTATCAAAGTTCGAGTTAGTCCGAGACCCTTGGCTTTCTCTATCCTGCGGAGGCGGGCTGCCCCTCCGCTGTGCCTGCCGCCGCCTCGGCCCTCAACTGAGTCAACTGAGTCAACTCGGCTTCTTCCTTGGGATCAAAGTCCCTTCTCCCGGATTCCAGAGAGGTTCGGAGCGGGCTCCGTTTTCATTGTGCCAATCCATTTGCTGAGCCGCGGAGGCGGACGAGGCCCCGTCTTCAATCCCAAACTGAGACACTAGAGAGAGGTCGCTCTCCCGCGGTCCGCGGAGGCGGGCATTTCCTCCGTCGCCGCCGTCCCAAATCTCTGATTTCAAGCCTATACGTTTCGCTGCTCAATCGGGACTATAAATCCACTCTGATTCCTCTAATTTGTATACTCGGGTCACATGACGCAAGTTTTCTCAACTTCACGTCTACATCGCGATGCTGATTTCCGATCAGGCGGGTCATTCGAGAGTCAACTCCTACCTTTTGGAATTGAGAGAAATATCCTCGAACCAACAGCAGCAGCAGCGGTTTGTCCTTTAAAATTTTGTACGAAAGCAAGAGCAATCGCCCGGTGACTAAGCTCTCACAATACCATGTATTCCATGCCATACCATTCATGGCCCTCCTCTTACCTCGCATTCAATTGATCCTAACAAGAAAAGTATGTGAATTCACTTGAACAAAATATATTCCTTACCGGGAAACAATCGCCGCCAAATGGCAAAACCCAAGAGTCAAGACATCTATACAAGCACCTTCTCCATCAAGTATCCAAACCCCGAGCTCAACCCGCATTAGACTCAATTCCTTCCTTCTTGGCACCTTCCAGATTGTCAGCTTTGATGAGGTCTTTAGAGGTATCCAAAAAGAAAAAAAAAAGCCCCGCGATCATCACATTGCTGTGCCGCAAATCCTTCGACGCCCGAAAGACTCCTTCAGCTCGCTTACTCGAGACTCAAGGGTTTGAAAACGTTTTGGAGCTTTCGTGTAAGAAAGAGGGGTCTTTGAGAACCGACTATGTTACTCGTTGCCTGAACCTAACCCCCCGCCTCGTGTCAGCTGCTGGGCCCTTGGCGACACCATCAACCAAGACAGAGTGGTAACTCAAGACACAACGAATCCTATCGGTGAATAACTCCATAATAGGAATGTAGATAGCAGCCTCTCTTCCTCGCCTTGAACCTTCCAGCAGAAATACCACATACCTTTGAATGACAAAAGTACATAAAGCATCACCAAAGTACCAAAAAGCACGCCAATCCCAGAGACAAAGTCGCCATAATACCAAACAGAAGCCAATTCCCCTTCTCCAAAACCTCCCCCGCAAACAAAATGCAGCTCAAATCTCTCTTCGCACTCGCCCTCGCCGCCGCCGTCACGGCAGCAGCCGCCACCCCGGGCGAGTCCACCCTCAACAAGCGCGCCCCCACAAAGGCAGAGTGCTGCTGCTGCTACGGCGGGCCCTCGGTCGGCTGCGCCGCGGACCTCAACTGCGCGGGCTACACGCCCAGCATCGGCGTCTGCCTGGACACGCGGTGCCCGTTCAAATAAAACAGTGCGACTCGCATTTAGTAGTCTCACAGTGGAACGGTGTAGAAGGGGGAGGTAGGGCTCCCCTCTCATGCCTGATGGGGCAGTGGATGTGAAGCTGCCAGAATGGGTGGTCTGCTTCAATGTGTCGTTTCGTTCCTCCTGGCACACGAAAACCATTTAAAGGGAACCCGGGCCTTTAGAATGTAATTCTGAGCCTTAGAGGAGCAGACTCGAGGGTCCTTTGTTTCCAACTCGATAAATCTTCAATGACGTCATCAGTGAAAGACTGCAGTTATCAAAAACAACTCTTTATACTGGATCATCACCCTTGGTTGCATCGTGCTGTAACATGTACTATGACATGTCTGGGGAGTAGGTAGCCTTTTCGCCTTGTCATCGGTGTTTGATCCTGGCGTCATCTTGCATGCGGCATCGTTCTGTCGTCTGCCTTGCACGTTCGCCTCACCCTGCCCAACTGCAGCGCCGGTCGCTAGCATCATAGCCAACGGCATCGCTTTTCAAAGTCTGACCAACATTTCTCTTCTAATCTGCCCCTGATCGCCTTCAGAGGTAACGGAATGTTAGTGTCGGAAAGTTGTGTGGCTGACTCGGAGGAAGTCGGCACAAGGTATTTGGCCCAACTGCGACAATGCGAGATTTTGGGATTTTTGCTCAGGGCCTCAGCCTCTCCAAAAGTCACCCTTCGTATTACCCAAATCATATGTGTAGCGCCGTGTGGAAGATTGTGCGTTCGTCGCACATCAATCAAACCAATAAAACGCAGACTAAATAGACGTCTTTGTCTGTAGCCTGTAGCCAGTCTTACACGTTGTAGCAACATATACTCCCTAGACCACCAGGGCCGAGGAGACTTATGCCAGGAGCTATACGAAAAAAAAGTGTAACAGCTCAAGGTCTGGATAAACACCATCAGTGTTCAAAGGTGCCAAGGTATACTTTCGAGCTTCTCGAGAACTCTGTGGGCGAATGCTTTTAGCATGCGAATAGCCTCGAGGGGTAGGCCTGGTGGGTATCGCAGATGGACGACAGACGGAGGCGATAGCCGGTAGGGGGATGTGTGAACTAGAAATTGTCCACAGTAGTATGCATTAAAAAGGACGTTTCGCGATTATTTTGTCGTGTATGTCTCCCTCTCTCCCCCAAGTCCATGACCGGGGGACTCGCGTACAAACATATCCAGAGGTAGGTATCCCTAACCTAACGGACGTAAAAATGGATCTTCCTGTTGCCTCGACCCCGAATCTCGACCCCTCCAATGATATAATCTCTAATGGTATGTTTCCTCTAATTCCCCGTAAATCGCTCGCTAATCGCAAGTTTTCCGACGTTCAAATATCGCCGGCCGAAAGTAGGCAGCATAAACTGTCAAGTCTCTGATAGGTCTTTAAATCTTGCGGTCGATGATGAGCAAGGTTCAGGATGCTTGCGGCTCGGCAGCGGCTGCTTCGTCTCGACATCTTTGGCACATGCACCATCCGCCGAGACTTCCCTTTGCCCAAGCCCTTCGTTGATCGACGGGCATTGTGACGTCGCAGTAGTGGTTCAAGACCTCTTCACCAGCCTTGAGTCCTCCTGGAGCATCGCCCACTACCTTTGTCTTCCGCGCCCAGAGTGTCATCTGTCCACCCCAATCCCATGTGACGTTCGGATTGCAGTCGTGGTTGGCTAAGCACCAAAGGGGGTGTACTGCAGCGACATCGGGTCGACCATCGCGCGGGTTCTTACGGGCCGATGCCGTACCGCGGAATTTGCTGTAGAGGGTATTCAGAACCCACAAATCGTGCTCTTGAATAGTGCTATAGATGTCGACGTCCATCTTTTCGAGGATGTGGAAGGGGGTCTCGATGTTGTACTTGAACGAAAATGGCAGCGTCCATTCCGGCGGCGGATTCGCACTCGGTGAAATCTCGATATCGTTCGATGCGGAAGGAACAAAGTCCCCCCATATATACTTGATCTGTGTCACATCCAAGGGATGTATTTCTTGGTGGTTGGACATGGCTAACACACGCGCAAGAAGCAACAAGTGTAGTGTCTCATCGGCTTCCGAAGCTTCGGGGTCCTTGGCGATGGCGTCGACGTCCTTCTCGCATACAGCAGGGTGGTAAAGTTCTTGCGCCATATCATGACAGTGTTGGCTACAGAACACTGTGTCGTAACATTCGTCGCAGCTGACAGCGGCCGGCTCACTGCCCAACGGTGGTAGCTCCGCACTACAAGCATCGCAGACTGGTTCTTTGAGGCGATTATTGGCGGTCAAAAGCGAATATTCTTCCAAGACGGCCTCCCCTGGCGCAATGTCTTGCGTCGCAAAGAGGCCCAGCTGATTGCATGTGGGTATGATATCGTAGCCATCCATATCGCTGGCTGCCTCCAGAAGAACTGGCAGCTTAGACACTTGGACCGCACATTTAGGTGCAGACTTTGATAGTTCGGCGTTCAGAAATTCGAGGGACTCAGGAGCAAAACGGTCAGGCTCGTATGTGTTCCAGGGGTAGACTTCCCTCCGAACAAGCCCCCATTCCGGAAGAACGTTGACATTAAAGTCGTCCCTGCGACATCTCCGGCTTGCCACATGCTTGATGTATCCCATCGTCTGAAGTAGTTCATCGTTCTCGGGAGCGATCAGCAGGCCTCGGTCGCAAAACTCGTGCGCACTCTTCAGGCATCCGCATAACAGAAGACTGAGGGCAAGTATCTGAAAGGCGCGAACAGAGGATAGCTTGGCCACATGAGCGACAAGGCCTGCTTGGTCTCTGGCCTCTTCTGTCAGATAGTCGCTTCCGAGCTTCGACAGAATCCCATGGTCCAGGACAATAGGCAAAGGGTCCAGAGGGCGGGATCCAAGAGCCTCGATAGCTTGCTCATGATACTCGGAGCCCTCGTGGAGGACATCGTCGGTCAGAAGAAGGGCTTTGTAGGCATCGCCGGCGGCCAAGTCGGGGTAGCCCAATTCAGAGTGGACAACGGCACGTTCGAGATAAGTGATCAAGTCGTATGGATTGTCGACCAGGGTTTCTGTGAGATGTCGGCGACGCTCGAGCAGACCTTCTGAGCGCCGAGTATTTTCATCCTCCAAGGGCGACTCATTGCCCGTGGTTGTGGTGCTTGCTATCGACATGGTGAAGAAAACAGAGCTAGTAGCAAAGCGCTTGGGCAGCACTGTTCGGGGCTAGCATCCAACAAGGTGCAGGCAGGGCTGCTGATAAAAATAAGAATAAAAATGGGAAACAAGGCAAAGGAAGGAAGATGCCGCCCAGGAATCGAGATCGAAATTGGATGCAAGTGACACTGACGTCAGTGAGGAGAACAACGATCCTGGTATTGCTGGGCTCAAGGTCCAAGTCGAGCGGACGTGTTGTAGTACCTTAATGGAACACCGTCTCGGGAACGGAACGGTGAGATGAACCTGAACCCTAGGAGGAAAAAGCCCGGCACACGGCTGCGAGCGGTTGTGTCTCGAGGTCTTTTTTTTTTTTTTTTTGGACTGAGAGGGGGGGTTTTTTTTGGTAAGGAGAACGGGGCAAGCCCACAACTGGTCAGACCACTTTGTGGCAACCCTGCCCGGGCTGTATCCGTTGGAAGTCGTTGAATTACGGCGTAAAGAAAGAGCCCGGGGAAGATGGATTTGAAAAAATGGGGGAAACGAGAGTAAGTAGATTTAAGAGGGGTGGAAGGGCCGATGAAGGAAAAGAGACGAGAATGAGATGGCAGGAATGGAGGGAAGGAAGGAGGCCTTATTCGTCAATTAAACGGAAATGAAGGCGAGGCGAAGGTGTTGGTCTGGCGGATGATGGCGCGCCCTGATGCCTCTCTCGTTTTAGTCGTGCTTGATCCTGTGCTGCTCTTCTCTCTGGATTCTCCACGATTGGCGTTTGCTGCCTGTCTTGACAGTTTGTAGCCGGAGGTGACTAGCCCGGTTTGTTTAGCTCGGTCCCAGTAAGACGAAGACCCTATTTTTGGTTGATGACCGGTCCGTCCAAGTATGCCGTTTTTCAAAAGGGGGCAACACGATGGAAATTAAACACAGACGCAAGTCGTCGTCGACCTTGACCTCGAAAGGGAAGGGGAAGAAATTTGCAACTCATCAATTGGATATTGGCCGCGGATTGGGGTCCGTTGGTGCGTGGTGACAAGTGGGGGGTTCTGGACTGGACCCTTGAAAACTGGAACTTCAGGGTCCTTCGCGTGGAGGGGTAAAACTGCCCTGCCTGGACTTTGTCACTTGCGGACAACCGCTCCCCAAGACCGCAAGCGCATTCAACCCGGAACGTCTTGACGTTGAAGCGCCAGGCGCAACGGCTTGACTGGCTGAGAGAGCATCGGACACCCATGCTGTGTCCTCCAAGGGGGTAGCTTAGATGTACTGATAGGTTGTGACCCTTGATTTGCCTTGGAGTCCGTGGTTCATGGTTCCTGGTAAGATGACCCTTCGATGGACGGTTGAGACGGGGCAGTGGCAGTGAAAACATGGTTTCGTACCACTTGGCTTTGCAACTCAGCGACAAGGGGACTCGACACTGTCAGCCTCACGTACCACGCGCTTGCCCGAGCTCTCCTCCCGTGGATACTGGGGATTGCGACTTGTCGCGAATTGGCTTGAGACCTGGGAACCCTCTCCAACTCCAAGGAACCGCACGTCTGGTGACGTCAGTGTCCAGTCTCCCCGTTGCTTTCATCCCGTCATTTCCGTTTTGACTTTTTTGCCTTTTATGGGTTCTCGTTTCTTCCGCATAAACCTTTTTTCTCCTCGTAACAATTTACATGCCGGCGCGTTTCTATGCACTAAGGTATTTGTGCCTTGTTCGGACTGGTACAATCGACAAGAAATAGACGCGGTCGATGGAGCATTTGACGCCCGTTGGGCCGATCAGGTACCTCATCCGTCCAGTTGCCTACCTTTCTGTACGAATTCTGGAATGGGGCCTCCATTTTTTACCGCAGTGCCGGAGTTATTCCTTTCCTTTGTTTCTTCGACAATTCCTTGTCAGTGCCTGATCGCCATCTGGGGCAGCAAGGGAGAGCTGGAGCAGCAGGGCAAA